GAGCCTCAAAATCATTGATATACATGGCACAGCCATACACCGCGGTTTCGAGAGTTCTTGACAGATCGGAACTTGGAGTCCACAGTCTTGCGATTGGTTGGCAAATACTACATACCACTCATACATACACTACACTAACCACTACATACTACATACGTACAGACATACCACTACACCACCACAAGGAAGCGTGAAATTGCACAGAAGACAACTACCAAACAAGTCTCAGCAAATAACGAACGCACATTTACAAGCTATTCAAGAGAACACTTGTCAGAAAATTTTCATCCGTGCCCACGCGCGATCTTAATTATTTCGTGAGACCAAATGCTAATGCATTACTACCAGGGGATAAAACAGGTGCAGCTCTCTCAAATACGGCTCACCAAAGCTCCCGCTGCATCATACCACACACAGCGCCGATTTAATGCTACGCGACCGACCGCGCGACGACGGCGGCACCAGGGCGCCGACGGGAGGAGCCTCAGTCAGCGGTCACCACACGGACCTCTCGGTCACACCACCACCGGGAGGAGCCTCGGTCAGCGGTCACCGCACGGCCCTCTCGGTCACACCACCACCGGGAGGAGCCTCAGTCAGCGGTCACCGCACGGCCCTCTCAGTCACACCACCACCGGGAGGAGCCTCGGTCAGCGGCCACCGCACGGCCCTCTCAGTCACACCACCACCGGGAGGAGCCTCAGTCAGTGGTCACCGCACGGCCCTCTCAGTCACACCACCACCGGGAGGAGCCCCGGTCAGCGGTCACCGCACGGCCCTCTCGGTCACACCACCACCGGGAGGAGCCTCAGTCAGCGGCCACCGCACGGCCCTCTCAGTCACACCATCACCGGGAGAAGCCTCAGTCAGCGGCCACCGCACGGCCCTCTCGGTCACATCACCACCGGGAGGAGACTCAGTCAGTGGTCACCGCACGGCCCTCTCGGTCATCAGTCAGCGGCGACCGCACGGCCCTCTCGGTGGCACCACCGCCGAGCAGAGCCTCAGTCAGCGGCCACCGCACGGCCCTCTAAGTCACACCGCCGCCGTCAAAGCTCCAGACGCGACGAGTCGGCTGAGTCAGACGCCGGCGGTCCTGCTCCTGCCGCACCCCCCCCCCCCCCCCCCCCTCAGCTGTCAGCCGTGCCTTGACAAACCTTCGTGAGCTGTTGGGAAAATCTGGCAACGTTTTTTTAAAGATATGTTCCGGCCACAAGAAGAGACATTGTTTTTTTAGTCCGCGGATCTTCAGAAATGAGGCGGGTGTTCTTCCGTGCAGATTCGAATTCTGCCTCTCGGCCTTGTTCCCATTCAATAATTATACAAAATCACTAGTTTGCTGACTGGTTACCGACGCTAATAAGCCTGTTCTGCACCAGCACCCAGTGCAAACAAGACCGAACTGCAGGCTGCAGCAAAGCAGGAGTGACTGGCAGCCAGGGATGGCCGCGCCCCACCCCAGTTCACGGGAGTGTTTCACATTGGCATGGAGCTATTCATGCTGAACTGAATAAGTCATCTTGCAGATCATTCCGTGCAGTTCACAGCCCTGTCCTTCTTAAAACGCAAACCCGGCTAGTTTCTTAAGCAGCCCATGAAGATGAGCAGACTTTTTCGGGGAGACTCTTTCAAGGTCATCTAGGCATCCATGACGCTATAACGTCATTCAAATCCTGCCATTCCATTGGCCTTGTGGCGATCCAGGCCAATACACATATAACTGTCAAGTCGGTCATATCTGGCGTTCGTGAGCACGATTTCCGGGTGAAGCGGCCGCCAACTGGCTCTCAGTCAGTGTTGTGCAAGGTACGATGACGTAATCAAACAACGACCCGTTGAGGAACATCTTTACTTAGCAGAAAAATTGCACCGCCTAGAGCATCCTTTTCCACCTGAAAGCATACCAATAGCTATAAGTGAGCATATTTCATCACATCTCATGCTTGCTTCAAGAACTTTAAATGTGGACTATTCTTTTCAAGCGTTTTAGCTGTACTATCATGCGACAGATATCACCTGAAATCCATTTCCGGAGCCGATGCGGTCTCCTCAGATCACTGGACGCGTTGGATCGATGTTGGTGGACTAGATCTTAATCCAGGCTGACAGTATTCAGCTTTGTGGCATCGGCGAAATAATAGCGCAAAATAAAGGAAAGGCTGGAAGACGCAAGCACTGCATGCGAAGCAATCTCTCCCATTGACACAGCCTGTAGGCAGCGCAATTTAATAATTTCATGCCCGAGTGGGGGTTTCGATGTCTTAAGCCAGGCAGCCACGCCCAGTTGGCGGCTCAAAGGCGCGGGGTGTGATATTACATCCGCCGCCGTCGCCAGTCTGCCAGCGGCGCCTTCACGTCAGGCGTGTTGCTAGGTTACGCTACAGGAATCCGACTAATAACCCGGCTGTGCGTCAGACAGGATCAAATTGAGTCCCCATAAATTCATTCTCTATATTCGCGTTGCCAATTGTGTTATTGTGATGGCATTAATAAAAGACGGCATGGCATTAAATGAATTCCCGGTAAAGTATTATAGCATATCTCAAGTAACTCTACTAATACTTTATTGCAGTATACCATGGTATGAATAGATAACTAAATAATTAAATAAATAAATAAATAAATAAATAAATAAATAAATATAAGTATACATATACACATATATATGTATGTAGATAATATATGGAATGCACGTTTCATGTCGTTCAGTGTGGGGGTACCAGTGGTGGACAGGTTAGGCTGCGCTTCTGAGAAATCAGGGACACGGGGTTTGATTCTCCACGATGCCCGGCTCTTCCTGCCAGGTTGTAAGACAGAAGACACCCCTCAGCAGCTGAGCGCGTCACGAAGCCCCCATCGCATACCGTTCAGCATTCTCGGACCTCCTAACAGGATGCGTCCAAACGCCGTACCTTCCACTAACTCAGCATCTTTGTGCAGCACTAACGCTGGTGATCTTTCGCGATTGTCATCTCCGAATGTAACTGTAATAATATCTCAGCCACTGCGCAAGTAAAAGCCTTCCTTGCGACTGCCAATAGACCTACACTTCAACACCTTGCGAGTGATCTCGCCTCACCAGCATCGTCGCTTTTGGAATGGAACAACGCCTTCTTTTTAACAAACGAACGAGTTAAGCGGAGCCTGTTGATTAAAGGGTTAAAGGAGCTCGAACACAAGTCTTGCACCCCTGTCGCTCCACCAGGCTGGCTGTGACGCGCGTCCAGCTGCGCTTCTGACTGGGCAGCTCAGCCGGCTCCGACTGCGGCGGAGCATCCCCCGGTCACCACTGACACCCTCTCAGCGCGCCCGTCAACAGCACGCGTCGGGCCCGGCTTTGTGGGCCGGCCGCGTCAGAGCCTCTCGCAGGCCATCTCTGCAGCATGTCTACCGTGAAATGGCACCCCTGGACACCACACCGTGCTCAAACAAAACCGGACAGCGTCATCTGCTCCGCCGGCGCCCCTGTTGCTAACGGGGTCAGGGCCGCACTTAACCGTCCGCGCGAGAGAGGCTGGGGACCGCCCCTAGCGGTAATCCGCGCCTAGGCTTGGAAAATGTGCAATTACGAGGGAAACTAGCGCGCTTGTGCATTCGCTCTCCAGTCGTGGCACGCAGAAGCACTCCGCGTGGACGCCAATCTTCCGGAGCTGACGATGTTGTTCGGCGTGCCGTGTTGACGACGCGCTGACGCCGATACGCGCGTCGTTCGGCAGGCTTCTTCAGCCGCGTCAACACGCACCACCGGTCAGAGTTTGTGTGCGGCGACGGCAAACCACCGGTATACGGGGACGGCAGTTACCAGCGCATGGTGGGCGTCATCGGAGGACAGTCCAGCGCCGTTTCCATACAGGTGAGGACGGCACACTGTCGGGCTGCACAGGTGGGAACAGCAAACCGTCGGGCTGCACAGGTGAGCACAGCACACTGTCGGGCTGCACAGGTGAGCACAGCACACTGTCGGGCTGCACAGGTGGGAACGGCACACTGTCGGGCTGCACATGTGGGAACAGCACACTGCCGGGCTGCACAGGTGAGCACAGCACACTGTCGGGCTGCACAGGTGAGCACAGCACACTGTCGGGCTGCACAGGTGGGAACAGCACGCTGTCGGGCTGCACAGGTGGGAACAGCACGCTGTCGGGCTGCACAGGTGGGAACAGCACGCTGTCGGACTGCACAGGTGGGAACAGCACACTGTCGGGCTGCACAGGTGGGAACAGCACGCTGTCGGGCTGCACAGGTGGGAACAGCACACTGTCGGGCTGCACAGGTGGGAACAGCACACTATCGGGCTGCACAGGTGGGAACAGCAAACTGCCGGGCTGCACAGGTGGGAACAGCAAACTGCCGGGCTGCACAGGTGAGAACAGCACACTGTCAAGCTGTACAGGTGAGCACATGACACCGTCGGCTGCATGCAGGTGCGCTTCGGGCACTGCTGGCGTTTTGTTTCTTACATATGTGAAGACACATAGGGCGCTCTCGGGCACATATGAGTGAAGACGCGCCCCTGTAGGCCGCAAATGGGTGAAAAGAGGCTGCCATAGGCTGCATTTGGGCGAGGCTATTTTAGTGTAGTCCCCGCGCAGGCGAGTGCAGTCTTGTTCGCATCCATGCAGGTGAGAACATTCCAGTACTTTTCGTCCATGCCGGTGATCCCGGACCATTGTCGACGACATGTGGGCAAGGACAGGCCGCTGTCGCCTCACCAGTGATGGCAACACTCCAGCCCCCCCCCCCCCCCCCACCGGCGAGGTCCTCTGATCTTGCTGAAGTGGTCAGAACACTAGTGGCGTCATCACCCACGTGAGGATAGCCGCACGCCCGCCATCACCTCTTCGGAGGCGTCAGATGACACCCAGCAGCCGTCAGCTGTGTGTAGACGTCACTGGGCGCTCCGTCGGTGTGGTGTCAGCCGACACCCAGCAGCCGTCAGCTGTGTATAGACGTCACTGGGCGCTCCGTCGGTGTGGTGTCAGATGACACCCAGCAGCCGTCAGCTGTGTGTAGACGTCACTGGGCGCTCCGTCGGCACGAGTAGTGTCAGATTTCAGTATCACAGCCGATAATCCTGGGCTTTCTTTAAGGCCGCTGAACATGCTGATATGTTAAAAGGAGATGCGAATGCCTTATAGCGCTGGTCGTTTGTGCCGCAGCTGCGTTTGAGCAAGCTCTGCTTGATGTAAGTAGGGAATGACTTATGATCCTGCTTTTTGGCACTTTGAGTGTACTATTGAAGGTAACCGATCCTCATCATGCCTAAGAAATTGTAGAGGTTTCTAGACATCGATGTCATGATGCAGTTCAATTTTTCATTGACATCCTCGCGTAGCCCTTGCCCGCCGGTTCATTGAATGCCGGTTATTTTCAGCATAAGAAGTGCAAATTCATAAATTATAGTTGTAACATCTGAAATGGGAAAAATAACCCGAACCATTCGATGGCAATATAATGCAACTTGATACGCACCAAAGAAACAACTAGGGGATAGGCTTCACAGTGCCAACAACGCCCATTAGACCATGTGGAGTGAGACAGTCAGTGTGAATCATTGGCCATTTGCATAAGGTTGATAACAAACACATAAGGCGTCATCATGTTGTGATATTTTAAACATTGATAATCGCCCCAGGAGCGGCAGAAGAGAGCTGTAATTCATCAGACACGGGGCTCACAACACGCGAAGACTTTCAAAAGTGGTAACAATTACTGCTCAAAGGGCTAACTGCAATGAATATATACGTCCCAACTGAACTGCCCTCGTATGCAACAAAGACGAGGAATTTTTCCCATCAAGCTTTTCAAAATCCTACATACGAGTATCTCATCAATTTCTAGAGTATCTATGACAAGCAAGCAAACTTTTCTAAAGCCTTCCCATTTGGCCAGACATACCACAGTCGTCGACAGAACTGTGGCCTAACTGAACACCACGCCACCAAGTCGCCTCAGCCTCATTTCAGTTCTCGTATCTCTCCGCAAATCCGTCCGGCGACCAGCAATCGATCCAATAGATCATGTGCCGGTCCGGAGCGCGGATGAACCCGCCGGCGTCACCCCATGCGCCCGACGCCTCCTACTGCGCCCGTCACCAGCAGCTGACAAAAACGGCAACTGGTGCCATGGCCCGCACAGCCTGGGGCGGTGTGATATGTGGGCCGATAGGCAGGCGGCGACGGCTGGCTTTGTCCGTCGATATTGGCGCCCCTGGTCCCTGGCCTCCTCGCCGGCCTGCCTTATATGTTGGCGTCGGCTGCCTCTGATCCCTGGCCCCGTCGCCGGCCTCCCCCACACGCTGGCGTCGGCTGCCTCTGATCCCTGGCCCCGTCGCCGGCCTCCCCACACGCTGGCGTCGGCTGCCTCTGATCCCTGGCCCCGTCGCCGGCCTCCCCTACACACTGGCGTCGGCTGGTTCTGATCCCTGGCCCCGTCGCCGGCCTCCCCCCACACACTGGCGTCGACTGCTGGAAGTCAGCGATAGGAGCTAGGAGATGAAGCCACTCGGTGCTGGGGTCGCGTCGCCATCCGGAGACGGCTCGTATCTAAATGAAACCAATTTTCGGGACCCTAAATGGACCATGGAGGCGGGACAACGCGGTGGGTCAGGATCGGGCGGAGAGAGCGGAGCATAAATCAGTCTGGATGAGCTAGGCATGGTCGTGAAACACAGCACACTGGAGGCTGTCGTGGTTGAGATGTGCAAGTGTTATAACTAAGTGGTTTTGGGCTCCGGGGTATCTAGTTTGATCTATGGTTTAATCTCTGGATAATACGTCGTAAGCTTTGGATGCTGGGCAAGTCACATTTTCTAACTGAGACATATTTTAAAAGGTGGTGGATTCAGAGCGCTAAGAATTAACAGCTTGATCTAATTAGGAAACGGCAAACAAACGGCGTATCCATTTTTTGGCCTTTGTACAGGGCATCACATGGTGTGCAAGGCATAACATTCGATCAGACTCAAACATTTTCACCTTTCTGATGCCAACGCCTAAACTCAAGGTAGCCAGAGGAAACTTAAATAAACAAGATATTGCGTATCCTATTTGTTCTGACTGAATGTTTGTTATCTAGTATTGATCCAGAGTCAAGAAAGAAAAGAGACATGTCTGGAGAAAGATGAATACAGGGATACGCCCAGCAACCCGACAAGTAGGAGCCTTGACCAATGTATAGCGAACAAATGGGACAATTGGAGCCCGTACGCGTTGCTAACAGTGCGCTGTTGTCTTGGTGGGACCTATGGATGGGAGCGCTCGGACCGCGCGCCTTTAACTGGCGAGCAGGCGCAGCGCGTACCCCCCCCCCCCCCCGCGAAGGTCAGGACACACAGGGCTGTGTCGATCGACCCCGCCAGGTCAGATGATGGCTGGTTTCTGCCGGCCACGGCGAGTGCGCTCACCACTTACGCCGCATTCACGGAGACTGATCAGCCGAGTAATGGCGCGAGCGCTGGCCCACGATTGGCGGGAGCCACGCAGTCATTGGGACAATGCGAGTCATTGGAACATCGGGACTGGAACATCACTAGGAACACTCGAGCATTCCACCGGCTTGTGAGCGCCTTGAGGAGCCGCCGAGATCGCTGCTCGGCTGTATCAGAGTGCGGTCTCCATAAACACCTCAGGCAACCGATTGGGTTTAATGCTTATCTTCCAGGTTTTTGTTTATTTATTTCTTGTCTGTTGTTGTCCACAGAGCAGCGCTCCACTAACGGGCTGAAGTCGTTTAAATAAGATGCAATCAATGCACAGCGCACAGTAGTATAAACGGGATTTGAGGACTGATGGAACAACACGGGCGAGATGTGTCGGAATAGCTCATCACACGCAATCTGTTAGAGCATCTTTCCGAAAAGAGGGAAGCGGGGATATGCTCCCGTAAATTGCCGGTTCCTTTTTGTCGCCTTTCTTATAAACTGGTATGATGTTTGCCTACTTCCACCTCCCCGGATAGACACCGAAACTCACAGAAAGATTACAAATCCTGGTGGGCGGAGCGACTAACTCGTCCGCACACTCAGTGATTACGCGGGCACTGATGTCAGTCCCACAGGTCTTCGCTGGGACCGACCATAACAATCGCGGATCGCACGGCTGCCTCTGAGACCCGCAGCTGGCTCAGTGACTCGACTGGGTAGCACGGCACATCTGCACACGGATATAAGCCAATTTCAGAGCAAAGGCGTCATTCGACGCGGCAGCGCGAGCCGTGTCATCCAGCACGGAAGTCCGCTCAGTGATACAAGACTGGTAATATGCATGACTCAATCGTGACACATTTTAAAAACGACCAGTAATACTGCTCGGGATTCGTTTTGAAGCCATGGGTGAGTTGATGTAAATATTAAGACCATTCGGATTTGGACACTGGACTTAAAAACCACGCCTCCGGTCCGCAAACTCAGCCACGGTCACCGCGCCGGCTTTTCTCCGCAGGCGTCGGGAAGCTGCCTCTTTCAGCCGAAGAGCAGCTCGCGCCGCACCGTCGAACAGTGATCAGTTGCCGCTGTAGTTTTGTCATCGTCATGCAATTTTTCGTATTGTTCAAGTCTCCCGGGGTAATATGTGGTACACTTTATCATATAGCAGTACAATTCGGTCCTGGCAATAGTGTGACCAGTCACTCTGCCTCAACGCATACTTCCGACGCACAGTTCCGCGACTGTTTGGGGATGCAACACACGAAGGCTACGCAAATGACGCACAACCCATCTTCTGCTCTGGACGCCCGACACCCAGCGTTTGGACTAATTGCGTCATCTTCACTGTTGCACTGCCAGGTCAACGGCGGATGACGGCCCTGTCGTGGGTTATGTCACGGATGTCGCGAACTTGACGCAGGTGGCCAATCTTCTGCGGAACTTCGAGGTGCCGCAGATCAGCTACCTGTCGACGTCAACGACGCTGAGCGGCCCGAAATACAGCTACTTCTTCAGAACTGTGCCGTCGGACGTCAACCAGGCCACCGCTATCCTGGAGATCCTCAGGTAAGTCATTGGCAGGTGCAGGGATGAAAACCTGTCGAGCTTTTTATGGAGACGTTCCAATGCGAGGAGAAAATCCACGTGGTCCGGACAGTCACCGCCCACTGAAGCTCAAGGCACCGCTGTTGTCAGCTGCAATGGCCGTTGCACTCATTAGAATGTAGGACTTTGGCGTCTTGAAGCAGTGACACCCTTAGCAAGCAAATAACACTCCGCCCAACTTGTTGGCACGGAAGTTTCCTTCCCCTGAGGCGTTTGCGACGCGGTGTGCCTCTCTTCTGCTCCGAACTCTGTCCGGCGGGCGCCCCCAGTAGCGCACACGTGCCGAGCGCGCGCCACAGATCTTACCAACACACTGATTACGGCGCCTTGGAGACAATACATCCATCGCAGTGATGCAAGGTCATGGTCGGGTCTCTGGTGTCAAGGTCCTGAGGAGGAACGCGTGCGGGAGGGTGGTGCATTTCACTGTGTTACGGCGCGGTCTGCGTGCTAACTAGCGAGTATGGATGACGAGTGCCACGATGGTGTGGAAGAACGAATGTGTGGAGTCCTTTTCTTCAAGGACAGCTCGTTAAATGGCGCAAAATATATAGCGCACAAGCTTTCATGTTTTTTAATTGATTCCACCATATATATCATGTAAAATCCACATTTCCTTCCATGTTTCCTAATGATATGCTATGCATTTATATCATTGTCTCCCGTATTCCCATTTTGTATGCTGCACATTAACATCATCTTGTACTCCATATATATATATATATATATATATATATATATATATATATATATATATATATATATATGCCTCAGGCCCCTCATTACACATGAGCAAAGGGGGATACCGGGGCAAATGTACACTGGACAGTTATGTTATCTATTGATGTACTAGGTAGTAGGTAGCAGTAGGTACCTTAACACATCACTATTAGTAGCATATTTATTTTTGGGACCAAACAGTATCCCGTGGGTACCAAATGATTTGTCGCGCTAACTTCTTCATATGTTAACCCAGTCTGTAAATGTTTGACATACTTTTCAAATGATATCGAGTGAAATGGTGTATAAAATGATCGACTGCAACATGCGGCTGCTATTAAACGTACGGGGTGGCCCACATAACAATAAACGCATGTTTTCCCCAACCGGAGCAAGTGTATTTATTGCACTGATCGTGGCTTTGGCGGTTTAATACACGATCGGCGACAGTGCTAGTCATCAGCGATTCCTGACTAAGATATATTCAGATGTTGTTTTTTTTGCCTGTGACTTACACCCCCTTCTAACGCCTCACAAAAGGTGGCTTGCATCAAGATAGAATGAAAATCTATTCCTTCGCAAGAAACTAGTTTTGAACCTACAAAATTTAAAACCTTTTTTACTTTTTCAAATTGAGAACACATATTAAAGTGTCCTAAATCCGGGGGGAGATCAAGTTTTAGGGTGCAAGTTAGGCTGGCCTTTTTAGCTGAGCCCCGCAACCAATTTTAAAAAGCGACACCCTGTCCGATGTGTATCTTTATATATTTCCAATCCATCTTTCACCGTACGTATCATATTTCCATTCATTTTTTTGCTGCAGCGTCCAATTTACCAGCAATTATGACTTCTCTGTCTCAGCACCAGACCCCGTGACAAAAAAAAACGACATTTGGATGGGCCTAAATGACATTCCTAACCGCACTGAGTAAAGCAGTGCGTCTGCGTGCGTCAGTGCAGTGCGTCCCTGTCTCTTAATGCTTGACCTTCGATGATGGGTCGCGTTTGGCGCGGGCTCGTAAAAGCGCGCCAACTTCTCGGGAACTTGTCTCCGAGGAGAACGGCTCAGCGTACAATGGCTGATATCTATGCCGACGCGGGTCGATCAGTCTCGGTGGAATTGAGAGCAGACTGGGCAGGGCGAAGATGTGGGTCGCACCCTGTGAGGCGCGCCGAGGTCCGTCTATTTATACCGAGGCCAATTTCACGGCAGGGCGATGAACACGGTATCTCACCTAGGCGTGAAGCATGCCGGCCCAGCGGTAGACCTGCGTGGGATGAACGCAAGTGGGCGTGTGGTGTTGGGTTTCAGCTCCTTTGGCTTGCTAGTTCGCGCTATTTCACTGACGCGTCGAGGCTCGTTAGCATTTTCGCTGCATGATGCAAGCTGTCAGTAAGTTCCTGCACTACATCGCTCAAACCATATAGCCTCATAGATCAGTGTCTGACAACCATCTTTGAGCCGCGTTCTGCTTCCTATACGACAGGCTAGATGGTGTCCACGAGGCACTCCTGATAAAGAAAGGAGACGCGTTTGTGCACTTATGTATATTCCACTTCTACAAATGCATGTGGCCTTTGTTATCTCGTTATTTTTTACCAAAGCAGCTTCAAACTGCGGGGGGTCTATGCTCTTTTAGGGGTACCACCATTATACCTTTGCTCTGCTCTGCTCTTCCTGTATGAGATGCATACGTTGAGCTGTATTTGCTGGGTCCTGCAACAGCCAAGCATGGCAGGCTTATCTTTAACACCAGTATCGTGAACCCCTTACAATCTTGTTAATAATTATCGTCAATAAAGTTTGCGCCTCATGACCACGTTCAAACTAATTCATGGAGGCGAAGGGGCAGGTCCGTTTAGCAGTCACCATAACCATTTCACTTCCATGCGGGACAAGGCACCCCGTAAGACTCAATTTCGCTAAGTAGGTGAGCCATGATGCAATTATCCAAGTGCATGACCGGAAACTGACGACTGGGTCGGGACTAGCGACATCCGCGTCTTGCACTGGACTATTGAGTAAGTAGGAAAGGAACGGTGCCGCAGCGGCGCTGCGCCCCGGACGTCTGACCTGGGTGACACATGTCACATCGCTTGACAGGTAAAAACCGTCCACCCACCACTACTTCACGCACGGTAGTACCCGTAAGGCGAACTCATCAAAAGGGTTCCTTCTGCATGCATGCACTCGCAGGGGTTCCGCGATCTGATGCGGATACTTGCACATCTATCCAGCAGCTGGCATCTGATAAGCTTTTACGCCCGACGCAGGGTGTCGTGTGGGTTCTTACTAAGCTAATGGAGTGAGCGGGCGGTGTGCAAGCGCCAAACATATGCCTATACCGTACGTTTTTCACAGCTTTGGTGCTTCATATCGACTCAACGAGACTGTGCTGGCTTGAACGTTCGGGAAGGGCTGCTGGTGCGCAGACGAATGAGGCTGCCGTCCCGCGGGTTGTGTGCTGCGTGCAGCTACAGTATAACATTGCACGTTTAAGTGCAGCCGGTTGGTCGTCCCTAGCAAACTGGTCTCCCCTTCGTCAAGTGGGAATCACAATAAATGATTTGTTTAGGCTGCTTTATGCGACACACGGCGACACATGAGTGCCGCATGTCGCTGATGACCATCACGTGTTGCCAACGTACCTCCCCCGTGCTGGCCGCTCGACCCATTCGTGCAAATTCCAATATCATGTCTCGAACTGCCAGCAACGTGAACTCCCGACGCGTTTGGCCTTCCCGCGATCACTGCCTGATTGACACTGGTTATGAGCTTCTAGTCGGGCTTCGGCTTTCATGGGAATGTATTGAAGCGATGCACCAGCGCGATTACTCTGCGCTTGTAGGGCCCGGTACGGGTGAAGAATTCTGAAAAAGGTTGAACGGGCATAGCTGCAAGAACAAGCCTGCGTTAGTTGACAATCGTTAAAATCGTGCTTGTTGTGATGGCCACTGTCATAACTGCAATACGTGTTCTCATCTGCAATACGTGACCGATCGCCGCAAGCTCTCACCACGCCCTCCCCCCCCCCCCCCCCCTCTAATCACCATTCCTGCCACTATGGCACCAGACCAGCCCAGACACCTCGCGGCCTCTGACAGCCGCCGCTGCTCTCACGGCATCGCACACCATCTCAGACACCGGGCGACCTCTGACAGCCGCCGCTGCTCTCACGGCATCGCACACCAGCTCAGGCACCTCGCGGCCTCTGACAGCCGCCGCTGCTCTCACGGCATCGCACACCAGCTCGGACACCGGGCGACCTCTGACAGCCTCCGCTGCTCTCACAGCATCGCACACCAGCTCAGACAGGGGGCGACCCCTGACAGTCTCCGCTGCTCTCCCAGCATCGCACACCAGCTCAGACACCGGGCGATCTGTGATAGCCGCCGCTGCTCTCCCAGCATCGCACACCAGCTCAGACACCGGGCGACCTCTGACAGCCTCCCCCGCTCTCACAGCATCGCACACCAGCTCAGACACCGGGCGATCTCTGACAGCCTCCCCCGCTCTCACCGCATCGCACACCAGCTCAGACACCGGGCGACCTCTGACAGCCTCCCCCGCTCTCACAGCATCGCACACCAGCTCAGACACCGGGCGATCTCTGACAGCCTCCCCCGCTCTCACGGCATCGCACACCAGCTCAGACACCGGGCGACCTCTGACAGCCGCCGCTGCTCTCCCAGCATCGCACACCAGCTCAGACAGGGGGCGACCCCTGACAGTCTCCGCTGCTCTCCCAGCATCGCACACCAGCTCAGACACCGGGCGACCTCTGACAGCCGCCGCTGCTCTCACGGCATCGCACACCATCTCAGACACCGGGCGACCTCTGACAGCCTCCCCCGCTCTCACGGCATCGCACACCAGCTCAGACACCGGGCGACCTCTGACAGCCTCCCCCGCTCTCACAGCATCGCACTCGTCATCGCCGCCGTATGGTCCGCAGGGCGTTCAACTGGACACACGCCTCGCTCGTGTACTCCAACTCGGACTACGGCAACCGCGGCTACGAGAAGCTGGAGGAGCTGGCGGCCAGCTACGGGGTCTGCTTTTCCACTCCGCTGCGGCTCGATGACGACCGCCACAACCACGATGACGTCCTCGAAAGTCTCGCCACCAAGACGGACGCCAAAGGTTCGGGCCCGCATTATTAGGGTTGATGTCTTTAATCACTTCAGCACCGTAAAGGATCATACACTTCCGAAGGGTATTAGCCTCCTATCCTCCCACTAGGGAAGGAATCATGGCTCGATTTTGTTCCGAATCTCGCCAACAGAGGGGGCGGCACAGCAGAAGTGGCGGGCAGGGGGGGGGGGGGCAAGTGCCCCTCCCCTATCCGGCACGCCGGGGGTAATGTAGCACGTTTTTACTTACTGAAAATTTGAGGATGTTCGTTTTGCCCAAACTGAAGATTTTGTAGCTGCACTTGACTTGCCAAAACTAAAAACAGGGGTCCCATAACTGAGCCGGGGGTACTTAAGGGTGTCCAGGAGACCCTTTTCTGTATCAAGAGGCTCGTCTCGTGAATAAAAACACCCTATTTTGTGTATTTAGAGGAGGCCCCTCTCCTGATTCGGGAGGCCCCTTCATAAACTTACAGCTCTTATCCCGAATCAGAACACACCCTCTGCATATAAGAAAACCCTAGTCTAGACAAGGAGACTTTTATTGCGCCAGAAAACCGCTGCTTTGGATCAGAATTCCGTGTTTTGGAGTGAAAAGGCCCTTTGACGGATTCGGAGGTTCCTTTTTGTCAGAAGCATCCTATTCTGGATTAGCTGCCTCATCTATGTGTGAGAAAGCCTTTTTTAAAACAGGGGGCCCTGCCTTGATATAGACAGGCCAGTTTCTTGATAGGAAATCCCCCTGTATTAATCGGAAGGCCCATGTTTGCGATCTTTAAATTGTCGACACTTAAGCATATGAACATTGATGCTTGTCATCTTAAATTTTGCAGGGGGCCACGCGCCCCTGGTTGCGTTTACCCTTGAATACGGTACTAGCCCTGGAGGCGCCCTGGGAAAATCCACCCCGCAGCCCACAATCCGTGAGGCCGCCCGCCTCTGCAGCGACCATACTTCTGTTTCAACTCACATTTATTTGAGAAAAAAGTGTAGTATTTTGCTACAAAAAATATCGCCATCGCTGGGAAATTTTAAACGTCTTGGTGAGTTGGTAGGTTTTGTGTATTACGCTATTCGTTCCAAGATCTTCCCCGGTTAGAGCACCGGTCTATTAATCGCAGGATTGAGTCAGAGGCTAAAAGCTGGCTGCATCTTTCGATTCTGAGACACGTAGTCGTGCATACAAGACTATGCACCAAAAAGCAAGAGGTCCATTGAGGACCAACTAACACATGACCTTACACCCTATCCCTCATAACAGCTTTAAAAAATACTAAAAGATTCCGTGGAAATAATAATCACAGGCAAGGGCAATGCACAGCACGATGATTACACTGCATCAACCCCTGTGAAGGTGAACTGCAAATTAGCCAAAGGTTGCGTGTGCACCGTGTGGAGATGCGAATGCATGGACACGGAAACATATAATGTAGCTCAACTTCCTACGCCAGTTTAAGTGCGTGTCAGTGTCTGCCGGCAGCTGTGACGCGTCACACTTTGGGGCGCTGGAGAGAACCCGATGCAGGGGCGGAACCAACGGAAATCAGCTGGGCCCATTCCCCAAAGGCAGTGAAAGCGCACCCCTCGCCTTTTTTTAGAAAGAGACGTGGCAAATTGAAAAAAACTTCTCCATTTACAAGACGTTATGTTGAATTCTTCACTGACTGGCTCGCACACTCTGTGGGAAAGGCTGGTGGCGATGATGGGAAGTTGGCCGGCCGGCCGGCCCGGAAGAAGGTCATAGAACTGGACATTGGGTAAAGAAATGCTTGGCGCTATAAAGAGCTCTTAAACAGTAGGAACGTTTTATTCAAATGTGCCTCGAAACTTCGTTATGATAATTACGGTACGTGTGTGCGTGCGTGTGTGTGTGTGTGTGTGTGTGTGTGTGTGTGTGTGTGTGTGTGTGTGTGTGTGTGTGTGTGTGTGTGTGTGTGTGTGTGTGTGTGTGTGTGTGTGTATGTGTGCGCGCGCGCGCGTGCGTGCTTGCGTGCGTGTGTGTGCGTGTGTGTGCGTGTGCTTGTGAAATGCTCATTAATACGGTTAAAACTACAGAAGGATTGAGGCGCGGTATTATATCAAGGACAATGTTTGTGGCTATTAAGGTATTTGTGACTCTCATTACCAATTACGTCGGACGCAGTGATCACACAGTGATCACACACCAAACACTGTAAAGCGTGCCAAATTGTGGTGCCAATCGATCATGCTAATACACTTGCGTGCACATCTTTGCCTCAAACATAAGATATCTGCAGTGGAGATCGTGTTCAAGTTCAATCTAATGAGCTGGAACTACCTGGCCAGCAGAACCAAGCTCTGTCTCAGCATTGCACGAGTGTTTTTGACTTAACACTGCAGATTGGCGTAAGACAAATAGGTCTATTCAAACTGAAGACTAAGATCGATCAAATCACGTTCACGGGACGTTGGCACCTGACTGCATGCTCAGCTGCAGCTGATTAGAACCGATAGCTTCATGGACATAGCAGATCTCAGACCATACTAATTAACGTGTGCTGGCCGGGCGCGGGCCGGCCGCCGGGCTTAACGCGCTCCAAAGCGCGGATATTGCCTCACGAACAGTGAGTCCTGTTAATTCACCGCGACGTCTTCACTGAAATCCCAGACCATGACGCAACCGTCTGTCTGTCCTGCGTAATCTGTCCTGGTTCTTCTAAGTGGTACAGTGTGGTTGCTTCCTCCCAGCGTGGTGCACAAGAAATTACCCGCTCCGCCTGCGTGCGCCTCTCACGAGCACGCATGCCGGCGAAGCGCGCTCGTGAGGAAGCAGCGGCGCCCGGCATTCTATCGTCCGTTGCCACTGTTTCCTCAGGATGTTGTTTGTCGTGGCAGTGCCAACCGTCAGCGAGCAGCCCAGCCAAACATTCGCCGTTTCCCGCGCTGGCAGGACATTGTGCAATGCCGGTGCCAAGAAGCCGCGCGCGCAAGGCCCACCACCGCTCCAAGAAACGCCAATAATTAAACGTACGAGGTTCCACTTAAGTAGTTTTTGCGGCGCGCGCTCTGAGTGATGAGCTTTAACATTCGGCGTGCCCGTTTATCGAAGGATGTAGTGATACTCTCAGATTTGATGACTTGAGTAATGCGGCGTTCTTCGGTTTTCTGCTTTATATGCAAACGAGGGACTGAGGTACTACAGAAGAGGCTCACGGTATAACATGGGATCGCCCGAATCCTGAACGTCCCTGCGCGGGGAAGGTCTCAGATGCGTGGACGGGGTGGGCAGTGGGTTGGCGGGTAATCGCTGATCCTCGGATGAATCCAGTTGCAGAGTGATTTCAATTCTGAAACGCTAGGCTTTTAAGAGACTCCCACGAACTTAAGAAGCGATTCTAGGGCAACAAATGTCTGTGGAAAGTGTCCTCAACCGTCTCTTTGCGTTGGTATGCATGATGTGGCAGCGATGCAAGCCACCATGATGGTCACTGGCTACAGCAGGCCGGGACATGTCTGCCGCCGCATTTCAGATGCTATACGCAGAACCCCATAAAAATCGCTATTAATGAAGCTCATTCCCCAAAACATGAAGATTTTGCTGGTGTTAATTGTTTTGAGGATCTTTGGTGACTTTTTGGTGGATGTCACCGTCCAAGTCTTGAAGGGTGGGGACGAGCATGGGATGGGAGGGGTCGGGGGCTGCCCCAACGCTATATAAAGCTCCACCCGTGGCGAACGCCGTGTGCTTGAGGCAAAGTATAACATAGGCCCGAGAGATGTATGATTTGTTCGATGTTAGGCCTTTTTTGGAACGATGTTTGTGTGACGCTATTAAGCTAACACGCTACACCTGCATTGTTGTTTACTTATCGCAAGTTACACTTACTGCATTTGCATGTACGCAATGGTTCGTCATTCAAAACGGTGTTTGAGACTCACACTATCTCGAGAGCTCATTGGCGGTGTCGGAGCACCTTGTACCTCTGAGACCGTGAACACGAGCTAAAGGCGATGCACGGGGGTAAAAACTGTAGGGATAATACCACGACGTTAGCCAAAAGGAGTTAAACAATTAAAGAAGGTTTTTCTAGGACGTAAGGACATAATGGGCCAACTCCGACGAGAAACGCGACCTTGGGCTTTGGCTAGCTGCCGTTCTTTGGACGGCAACTGTCTCTCCGTTCCCCAGCTTGGTTCTCCGTCCGTGAGCACAGCAAAGCATTTCGCGGGTCCTCAGTCATCGACCAACGAGGCCGCGTGCCATACGCACGAATAACAGCCATTGCGAGATAGCTGCCCACGCTCAGCGGAGGCACCGGAGATAACGGCCCGATATATGGAGGTGCCTTCGGCGATAACAGGCTGCTCATGGTCTCTCGGCGGCGAGACTGCCGCCCACGCCGCACAGTCAGATTAGCCGCACAGTCACATTAGCCGCACAGTGAGATAAGTCGCACAGCAGAATAAGCAGTACAGTCAGATAAGCCGCACAGTTAGATTATCCGCACAGTCAATTAGCCGCACAGACAGATTAGCCGCACAGTTAGATTAGCCGCACAGTCAGATTAGTCGCACAGTCATATTAGCCGCACAGTGAGATAAGCCGCGCAGTAGAATTAGCAGCACGGTCAGAGAAGCCGCACAGTTAGATTATCCGCACAGTCAGATTAGCCACACAGTCAGATCAGCTGCACAGTCATATTAGCCGCACAGTCAGATAAGTCGCGCAGTTAGATTATCCACACAGTCAGATTAGCCACACAGTCAGATCATCAGCGCGGTCAGATTAGCTGCACAGGCAGCACACAAAGAATAGCCGGCCGATTTTGCAGAATGGCTAGTTTTCAAATGTTTGGCAACTTAAACGTTGGATGTCTTGGTGGCGTTTCTCTGTTCATGTGCACCACGTCTGCAAAATCTCCGACATGAGGAGGCTGGCAACTATCAGAAGCGTTGCGCTTGCCAAGTTCCAGGAATGTTAACTGCGTTGCCAGACTGTTTAACTGCATTATAGGATCCGTGCGACGGTCCCGATGGTGAGCTACAGGCGAGCGATGCTCTTGGTAGCGATGCCTGCCCCCCCAGGGACGCGATACGCTGTCGCGCGCAGCGAGCTGATCGGCTTTAGCTGCTGTCTCGTTATGTGACAGGCCTCATGGTCCCGTCGAGCAGGTTCGGCCTAGATATAAATGACCCGTGAGCTGGTCGATGAACATGAGGACATTGATGCTGCATGCAAGGGAAATCTGAAGCTGAAACGGTATTGTTAGTCTTATTCCTCGTAGAGCAGCCGGGAGAGAGAGGAGAAATAGATGTATTGCTGTTTCGGCTACATGCCCTTATCGAGACTAAGGTATCGACTGTTCAGTATTTTTAACAGCAAACCACAATTTACAAACGACCAACATTTATAGGCTTGAACGAGGAGCACTTGCCAGCCATTAATACGATGCAGTATATATCCAACTAAGGATTCAAATGCGTGAAAATACGTGTCATTGCAAACGAGTTGAAATACACAGGCACCGTGCATCACGCAACATTCATGCATGCCAACAATTTTAAGTAAACGGGCATCACACGTCACGCATCGCTTATGCATGCATACGATTTGAATGGAACAGGCGTCATGCATCACACACCAGGCATCTCTCATGCGTGTACATGATTTTAGGCTGACATGCACCATGCAGTAAGGCACTTATCACATTTGCACAATCGTCCATGATGAACCATACATTTTTAGGTCTGGTCGCCGTCTTCTTATAAGAATGGGTTCTCATGTTCCTGTCTGGATCGTCCTGTGTCACTTTAATTTTTGAATTTACTACCCATCTTTGTTTCCATACAGACATGTGGCCAAAATATCAAGGCATCTATTTCTCCTTTTTCCAGTTATTTTACAAGGAATAAGGCTAACAGTACTATCTCATCTATATGCACAATATTGATCCCAAACGCACTTAACATAGGAAACCTGAAGCCGAATACTTATAACTGAACGAGTTTCTTGGCGGCAATAATGAGCCATCGATCTACCCTGGTGCAGCCAGCAAATAGCGTACCTCATATTTGTATTATTTCTGTTGTTTCTCGGAAAATCTTCGCTTCTGGAAGGTCCGTGGTGCATACCTGAGTTGGAGGCACGCGATTCTCTCCGTCAGTCACATGCCTTGCCAGGCAGGCTGCCGCAGGGGCTGTGGCTCATGAGGCAGGGTTGGTTTGCTGCGCGCTTCAATATCACGCATGTGCTTGAAGAGGGTGCTTTAATTAAACAACAGCACAATGTTTGTGTCTTGAGAATCCCTTGGCGTATTATGGGTTCCAAGGTCAGTTGATGGTCCAAGGTGCTAGGCGTGTTTAGAGAATGGGCCATCGATCGGTGCTAGGCGTGTTTAGAAGGAAACGCTGCGCCCGAGACATACAATGCTCACAGCTGGGACCACTTATACACGGCGATTAGAGATCACGCTCACGCTCTGTTCACTGCCAGCACTCATTTTAAAGTTGCCGACTATGCACGAACGGCCTGCGTGAGACAGCCGCGGCTCGCTCACGCTCACGCCCCGGTTCCTCCGCAGTGGTGGTGGTGTTCGCGGACAAAATGACCACAGGGGAGCTGATGCGGCGGGCCAAGCAGCTGGACGTCACTCACGACCTCGTCTGGATCGGCTCCGACGCCTGGTCCTCCCGCGAAACCGTCGTCCACGGCGTCGAGGACGTCATCGAGGTATGACGTCACCGCCGTCGATGGCGTCACTCGGGGCCCCCGAGGCGGCGGACGCGGCGATCGGGTTTCCCCGGCGGGGGCGGTACCGGCTGCCGGAAGTGTGCTCTGGGGGGCGTCCGAGTGATGGTGGGCGCGATTAATCGGCACGCGAGCACACCCAGCCGCACCGGTCGTTCGGCCCCCGCAGACATGTCCGGTACATCGGCAGGTGTCGGCTCGCTGAGCGGACCGCTGAAATGTGACGCATTCTTCCTTGAGCAATCGGAAGGAAGTCTTACAATATCATCAATTTTGAATATCGACGAAATCATTTGCTACAAAGCCTTGAAGTAGCTGAAGTACGCATCACTACGTGCCGACCATGTGGTCTTCAGGACATGGCAAGGATTTGACAGCCATCAGTAATTCAGCGGAATCATTCTTACGACACTAAACACATCTCAAAAGAGTAGCGGCGTCTACAAGACACGTCTGTCTCATAGAAAGCACTCATGTGTTTACCACCGATTTGTGTGCGGCGTGTTGACGTGATGTAATGACAGGCTAGCAAGAGTGATAACATAGAATGTCGAGACGTTTACGCAACGCGGGTGATTTAAGTCCGTCGATGCGCAGACAATGATGCACTCTTCTAAGCGAAATATCGCTGGTGCTCAGTTTAGATGAATGCAATTATTTGACATTGCGAATGTAGAGGTGACCAAAAATGTTCGGAATTGTTTTGATATTTGAATGCAACGAACCGTCAAGGACAAGGCCAAACGGTGCGTTCCTGAAACAAAAAGGCGATTGGGGTCATGTTGGGCCAATGCCCTCCTTTGGCTTACACGAAGTTCACATTAGATCTCTGTTGTTGTTCCTATGGTCAAGAAAGTCGAACTGAGCGTTCAAACTGTCCCATAAAACAAGGTGTCTGATAAAAGAGCAGTGTAGCTTTGACCTCGGTCTGACCTCCATACCTGGCCCAATGTCAATGAACCCATTATAATCCTAAATTCAATTTTCCGGTTTCCAAGAATTAAGGATGCGTCTTATCATCTCAAGCCATGCATCTTAAGGATGCATGGCTTCATTTAACACTCTGCTGTCCTAAAAGATTGAACGGGTCCTTAGGAACTCCTTTTGCTGACAGCCACGACCTAGCTTTGGTCTGCCATAGGTTAGTGACCTAACAAGGTAGATCTAATTGTTTTATGCCAAAATATTGGCTACTCAATTGCATATAGCTACACAAAGTTTTAGGTGGCTGCTCCGTGCCGTTCAGAATCCATTCTGGAATGACTTTGGGGTGGGGGGGGGGGCGAATTGCCACCACCTGAGTGTGTATTAAGAAACGCATTCATACCACATTCAAACCTTCATCTTACTTATGACATAGCTACAAGAACTAAACCGCACGTGGTTGAGCTGCAGCAGATTGGAATGACTCCGACCCCAATACACAATGCGGACAGTGATTGGCTTGCATCAACAACATATTGTCCCCATGACGTCACTAGCTGGTCCGGTCCGCTCCAAACGGCCTCTCCGATGCGTTTCTGGCAGCCATGAACTTCCGTCTGGAGAGATAGCATTTCGTTTAACCGATCACGTGACGTCGTCGAACTGACAGATGCTGCGTCAGATTAGCTTGTGCGTCAGACAGCTTCATCTTTGATATTTTAACAACGCTCTCTCGGTATCTTCGGTCGTGAATTTGTTTTTGAAACCCTGACCTCAGTTGTCGGAGCTGTCAGAAGTTACAGTGTTTGTGATTTGAGAGAAACACCGATCACACTATTGCCGAACGCACCATGTTGGACGAAGAGTCGTGTGAGAATGTCACGAATGACGTCATAAGGGATGTCGCTTCGGAGAGTGACGCTTACTTGACCGTCGCGCAGTGCGCCGCCACTTTGTCACACATCGCGGAAAGGGCCCTCTTAAAGCAGATCATCATAAATGATTGTAGATGATGGATCACCTCATGATAATACCATACACTGGCACCAAGATTTTAATGGATAATTTCAGATAGCGCACAATGCAGTTTGACAATATATCGCGGAATGTACGTGGCGCTGTTTGAATAAACTGACCGTCCATGGTAGCGCGTCGCACCCACGGCCGATATTTCAACGCGAGGAGCGAGGGGCGTCGCCTCCAACTGAAGGCAAACGATGCCAAAGCATGCCCGGCCTCACCCTGACCTCCCGCCGCCCGGCCGGACCGTTCCAGGGCACGATATCGGTGCAGCCGCTGGTGGAGAACCTCAGCGGATTCGATGACTACATGGCCGGCCTGGACCCGCTGGCTCTCCCACTGGCGCGCAACCCGTGGCTGGCCGAGTTCTGGGAGGACACGTTCGCCTGCGCGCTGCCCGGGGCAGCCGGCGGGGCAGACGGCAGGGCAGCCGGCGAGGTAGCAGCGAACCGGGCCGACCGCCCCGCGTGCGACCCTACGCTGCGTCTGACCGAGCAGAGCGGCTACAGGTATGCGGCTGACAGGGCTGCCAGATGGCGAGCGGCCCAGCATGCTGACGGAAAAATCGCCAATCTTGCGGTCAAGTTAGCTGGAAAACCTGCATGCTTCAAATGAGCCGCCGACTAAAGGCGACGGTTCCTTAGGTATGTGGAAAGATGAGGGGCGCTGAAGTTAAAAATTAAAGTGAAATCGAATGGAAGAAGAAAGATGATGATGCTACTGCTTATGATGATGGTGATAGTGGTGTTGGTGGTAGTGGTGGTGGTGGTGGTGCTGCTGCTGATGATGATAATGATGACAATACTAGTACCTCTATTTCTGCTGCTGCTTCTGCTTCTGTTGCTGTTGATGACGATGCCGATGTGTGGATACACATTGAATTAATGTTTGCCAGGCTGCTCTAATTTTCGAAATCTCCGGTTTGTTTGATGCATTTTTAAAGATCCACTTCGAGGGTGCCGGTAGTGGAGTGGTTACTCGCGGCACCACGCGTTTGCGTTAACCACTGCTCGTCTGTGAAACCAGAAGTACGGGGCTCAATACCCCGCGGTGCTCGCCCTTCCTGCCAGGACGAGAGGTCGGGTATGCCACATGGCCCCAACAGCTGAGTGCGTTGTAAAGCTCCAACGACGACGATAACGATCCAGTTGATCCAGTCATCCATTCAGTATGGTTTTAAATGCTCGTCAATAAAAATACCGTTCCCGAAAATAAGTCACCACGGACTAAACATTGATTGTTGCTCGCCACAGTTTGTAAATCCGTGTAAATCGTTTGAGTGCGACCAACATCCATCACATTTACCACCTTTCGCCACATTCTGCCAGCAAACAAATTGGTGGCAGAACACTAAACCGCATCCAAAATGGGCGAACGTGTTTCAGAGCATCAAACGTGGTTTTAGTGATATTTGGAGAAATTTCCGAAATCGCATGAGCTTCAGTGCCGTCAGCGACTGCTTCGCATATGTGCAAAGCAGGCTATATACAGAGAGAATGGCCTCTTCACCATGAAGGCTCGGACGGTAAAAAAATAGTCACATGGCGCATCATGCATCAATTTCTGACCGCTCAATAGGAGGACCAATTGGAGAAACTGGCGGGAAGTGCGATGGACCTCATTGGCAAGTTCTAAAAAGCGGCCTACAAGCTTCTGGATGGGCACCCATCGGCCCTCCAGCAGCGGAAACGCTCTGCATGGCTGGTGTGAATGCTAGCACACAAGCCGATGATGATGGTCCGCGCAGCGACTGCATCCGTAATACCCACAAATGTCGGCCGCTTCGTCTGAAGTTTAGCGGAAGCCTGTCAGGAGACCTGCACCCGGTGGCGTTTAATATATAGTATTAGCGCAAGAACATTGGCAAGAGAAGGGCCAATCTAGTCGCAGCCCCTTTCTGAGCCAAAAGTTTTAACTAAATGCTTCGTGATTCAGAGGAATTTGATCCCAATCGCGTGATGGGGAGACGATTTGACATTCGACCTGGCTACGCGACTGCACTAGCACAACAGGCTTGACTCACGGCGAGTGGCAGTGCATAAGTTCGAGAGAAATTACCACGGATCGAAGCTGTAGGTCTACAGCATTGACGTCCACATAAGGAGTCACATCTCTCGACCGATGGAAGATATACGACGGTCGGCGTGTCATGATTGGCATGCTGAGGCGCAGATCAAGACTCCTCCGCACTTGTCACAATTCGGCCTGTCTTTGTGGTGGCGTTGCTGTCCACGCACAAAGTGACCCTTGAAAGGACGCTGGCTTCAACGGCATTCGAGCAAACGGTATGGATCCAGACTTGAACAAATGAAAGCGAGGAATCTCGGGAATGCCTCATTCTCCATTCTCCTAGAGCTGTTTACAAATTAGCGTATCGATATCTACTGATTTCAGCAACTCAAGAACGATATCTTAATTCTCTATGCTTGTAGTTCATATAAATCAACAATGTTCGACTATTTAAACGGTAGTTGCTGCTTAAGTACTGGCACCCAAGCACTTTTCGGCAATTTCCATAAAGGCAACTTGTGTCAGTGCTTCCCTGGGCCTGACCCTGGGCCTAGCAAAACTTGGAAGGCACTGCCAGTGCGGATGTTCCCACGGTCAAGGTCAGAGCAACATGTCCAGTGGCCGGACGACCGCATCGCGTGATTCCAGAACGAGTGTTGTTGACTCTTTCTTGGAAAGTTTGACACTGCTACAATGAACGGCCTGCAGTGCACTGTCAGACGACTCAAGTCGATCAGGTCCAGCTTGTCTGAACGGGTGTCACGGTATGAGAACTAATGGTACATTGCTGTTCATTGTCTGATTTTTCCAGTGCATGATGTGCAGTAAACTCTGCCAGGCTGGCTCCCGTGTAACACACATAACACACACGCCACGGGGACAGCTTGAAGCTTCCGTGTCATAAAACTGCATATTCTGCCCAGTTGATTCACGAGTTTAGCCTTGACTTATTTGACACGAGGCTTCTGGTTCGTGGTGCGACCCTCACTCAAGCCTGTGTCGTTGGATTGTCAGTACTGAAGAATGGCGACTAATGCTTCAATATATTTTCGTTTCAATGAGTTATTGACACATCTACGGGAATGAGAATTGTTCGGTCGTGATTTATTGCGTGCCTTTTATTTATGTGGTCAAAATATCAAACTTCATTCTTTGCATTCCCGGCAATAGTTACTTAATTTCTCTTGCCATTCTAAGCTTCTGCATTTATCACTTCCACTGTTGTACTGTTATTTACTGTCACTCATTTAGTTACTATTAGTACCACACAAAACACTGATGTAGAAGATGCATGCTAGACAGACGTACACTCGGCGGGTCTTCTCAAGCCGTCGAGTTTCTGCAGCGCCACTGCCACAGACCTGAGCCTGCCCTCACGGCCTCTAATGCCCCACGCGCCGGGCGGCAGGTCACGTCCAGGCCGTGATTTGCCCGGCAGTGTCAATGGCAGCGCGCCATCGTCAGTCATCATGTCCGCCGATTTATCATGGATTGTTCCAAGTCACGTGTCATGCTCCCTGTTCACCGTCAAGCGTCGTTCAAGACAAGCAGCAGTGCCGGCGCCATCGTGCAGAAAAGGATTCAGTTGCATGCATATCCCCATACCACCATATATAGACGAACTATATATATATATATATATATATATATATATATATATATATATATATGCGCACATGTATGCGTAACTAGCAGTGTGTCCGGTAAGTCAGGGCTCCAACGACCTTTGAGCACATAGAACCATTTTTGCTTGAGATAAGTGAGATATAGCCTATGCTTATATTAGTGAATATTAATAGCGGATTTATAAGACCAAAGATGAACCAGCATATTTTCCCATGAGGCCTTGTCAGGACTGTTAACAACGGAATAAGCCAAACATTTGGAAAAAGGCCCGTTCTGTGGGCTTTATTTCCACTCATATGAGTATATGAGCTTATGCCTATGACCACGTCTCCACACCTGTGTCTCCACACCTACCCACACCACGCCTACGTCATAAGTCTCTTAATTATACCCGTTAAGTAATATCCGACGTACACCAATTTTTTGCTTCTGTTCAACTTTTCCGCTCCGACTCAACGTTCAGCGATTTTCGTTGCACCCTGTTCATCAGAACGGCAACTTCTCTTGTTGGGAGGAAGCTCTCATAATCAGCGTCTTATTTGGATTTGGAAAGGAGACCGACGCTGCGATGCATGTGATGAAAAGTTGCTTCCACAACTCCCCAAACATGCGCGTCATCACTCCGCATGTCGAAACGAGGTTTTACGATTTTCAAGTTCTTCGAGGGAGTGTGAAGATGTCGGACGCCGTCAACAGAATTCATATCATTACTCAGCAAGATTTTTAAAAAAAACTTGCGACAGCCTTGAGCACGGCTTCTGAGCGGCATTACGGCTTCATGCGTTCGAGACATGCTGTCCGTGGTGATCAAATCCGCATTAACTCATTATCAGAACGACTGGTTGCATGATTTTGGTTCTCATACTTGATGCCAGATATGATTCCTTCCATTTCTTTGATTGATTTCACGGAGTGTCGAATGTCAGACCTTTTCTAAGAGGCGGATGTTCCGCCAGGCACCAGAAGACGTGCGAGTGCAAACCGATTGTACCACTGGACCACTCAATGTCAATAGGAGAGCATATTTGTAATTCGCATAATGTGAAGCCATCCTTGTCCGACAGACAGCAGAAGTACCTGCACTTCGTTCGGGACGCCACGTGGGCCTTCGCCAACGCCCTCAATGACATGCATCTGGACCTATGCAAGGGTCAGCCGGGGTTGTGCTCAGGCATGCAGCACATCGAGGGCTACACCTTACGCCAATACCTGTCCAAGGTCCATTTCAAAGGTCAGTCAAAACGCCTGGAAATCTCGCCGTAGTGTGATTCTTTAAAACCATCTGCAATCTTGGCGCATTCGCGGCCGGCAAACTACTAACATCGCTAAAGATGATGCATTTTGCTATTCGTTATTATTAGGGAATGGTCGACAAGTTACCCTGGCATGCACAGGGGGCACCAGGGCTACTACAGATTTAAGGCTCAACAGTATTTAGACGAGTGCAGAATGAGGTAGCAAGCCTGGGAACTGAAAACATTCTTTGAATTTTCAGACCAGAACAACCAATCGTTTCGGTTTCTGAACGGCAGCGGCGAGGGTCCTCCACGCTACTCGATCTTGAATTTCCAGCGTGACAAGCAAGGAGGCTACTTCTGGAAGAACGTTGGCCAGTACTCGTGTCCGTATCTACCATGGCTCTCCCCCTCTTTCTCTCACCCCTCTATCACGTGCGTCTATGGTATCTACCATGACATCTTTTCTCTCGCTATCTCTTGTCTCCCCACTTTCCTTCCCTCCTTACGTTTTCTCATTTCTCTCAAATGAAATTTCTTTGTCATCTCATTTTCTCTCGTGCCTTACTCAGACTATTTCATCCGTGGAAAGCAGCAGAGGACACGTAATTACTGCCAGACCGCCGCCTTACCGCGAGAAACGCACATCCACTTGCCTCATCCCAAGTGTGAGAGGACGCGCAGTGAAGTAGTTAAGCAGTGAAGTAGTAGCAGTGAAGTGGTGCAATAGCCGTCGAGCTGCCAGTGGCACTAGCTGACGCCGCTCACCACGGCTCCGAAGCTCAGCGCAAAGGAGCGGAGCGGGTCGATGATTCGGCGCCACTCTGCGACTGACGATTGTCGGCTATATTAGGTTATCAGGGCGATACAGGCTTATCTCCCGCTACAGACCACGTGCGGTCGCAGAGCGTAAGGGCGCCCGCGTCGTGTGGAGTACGGCGGACGGGTGCCACGTGGAATAACGCACCCGGATATTGGTCACCCTCGAGTATTGATTTCTGCACCCAGCGAGACCTGCGGACCGGCCAGCGAACTTGACGCGTCATGTCCGGGGCGCATTCACGGAAGGTGGCCACGGCTTGTTTGCGATCAAGTGGTGCCACTCCGCCCAGGTCTAGCACACTGCATTGAACTTCTTCTTCAGATAGGCTCTCAACGGAACAGCTGTTGAATCAGATTACTCTGATGCCAAAAGAACTTGCCACAAAAACGACAATAGTGCGCACAAAACACGTTGGAAGTTCGACAGACAGTGCACACGCTAAAATGAAACGGCATTACATGTTGTTTCGATTTCGTGCTGGTTGATGTGTAATTGCTAGACAGAATAAATGCCGCACGGTTATTTCATTTTTCATTCAAATGATAGCTTTCTCAAATAATTTAAGATTTACACTATACAGCCACAGTGTTTGTGATATAAACACTGGACTCCAACTACGACTCCATCACAAAGAGTATTGACAACGGAACCAGTGTTTACTCTATGACGTCTTTTATCCAGCACCTTTGTTTGCTCTATGACGTCCTTTACCTAGTACCTCCACGTATATTGAAGGTTGATAACCCAGCACATGAGCACTGATCTCATAACTTCTTCCAATTAAACATTACTGTGTAGGTTTTTTCCATCTTCTAAACTGAGCTTCGCCGGACGCATCGCCACCGCGAAATAACGGACATGTGTTCTCGCCCCCTGTCTGTTTTTCACGTACTTTTACGTATATTTTTACTATCCTTTCCGCCGCTCAGTGACGGAGGACGGATCCTCCAACCTGGTGCTGCGCAGGGAGGAGATCCTGTTCAAGGCTGGTGGACGCCGCGACTTTCCTACCTCCGAGTGCGGCACCCCCTGCCTGCCGCACCAGGTCAAAGTGAAGAAGGTGAGAGGCGCGCATCGTGGTCGAGCGGTCCGTGCCGGCGACCTGCAGGAAGTTCTTTTGCGGATAGTTCAAAAGTTCGCAAAATAGCCAGCGGTTCTTGGTTTCAGTGCGTTACTTCAGACGCTTGTTCTAGCAAGGCACTTGTTGAATCACGTGGTATTGAGATGTTAGCTGCATATTTTTAGACGTGTGATCCGGATGTAAGTCACCCAGCGTTTGCAGTACGGTGCCATTCATGAGGCAATTTAGTTTGTGGACCTTCTTCCCAAGTTTGCCTCCCATACCGACATCTTTCACAAGCACTCATCACAGCATCAACAGCTTCATTTCCAATCTCCTTTGACTCACCTGCCTCCTTTGACCCACGGTCGTCCGTCACCGCGCCCTTTCCTGGCCGTTCCCTGCGGCGCTCCTCCGTCCAGCAGCCGCCGTCCAGCGCCTCCCATCTGACGCCCGGCGCCGACTCCGACTGCTGACCATGACGCCGGGCCGGTCGGCCGGCAGGAGAACGACCTCTGCTGCTGGACATGCCGCACGTGCGGCAGCTACCAGGTGGTGCGGGACGACTACGACTGCGAGGAGTGCAAGCCCGGCTTCCTGCCGTCGCCCAACCAGCGCCACTGCATGATCGTGCCGGTCACCTTCGTCGACTACTCCAGCCCCTGGGCAGTGGTCGCCATGACGTTCGCGGCGTTCGGTGAGTGTGGCGTGTATCGCGTTAGCGCGCTCCCTGCAGTGCGCTTCACTCGCACGCGCTGGGCTTTGGTCAAAGTGGAAGGATTGTCATGGCAAAACGCGCTCAGGCGCGACTGTTGAGTGACAAGGAAGGCAAGAGAATGTGTAAATGGACGTACCATCATCCAGCCTGGCATAAGTGCCGACCTCGCCTGAGTGACAAACTTTTCACGTCGCATGAAGCAAGAGTACCATCCTCAGAAGGCCTAACCCACGTGTGGGACCGAGCTCAAATCCGGGTTGCGCCATGGTCTCTGAGCACTTATATGGCCATGCTGTCGCTGGCGCTCCATTACAGTGGCGTGACGTTGTGCGTCGCGTTCTCTTCAAAACAAGTATACTTTCCCCTTGCCTGGAAATGCCCCAGTGACGAGATCGGTGCAGACAACAAATGAGTGGTGCACCTGATCATTTTCCATCGATGCGGAGGTGGAAGATGTCATCGGTGCCAGAGATGCCGAAGATGTCGTCGATGCCGAAGATGCCGAAGATGCCGTCGATGCCAAAGATGCCGAATATGCCGCCTTGGATGCTGGCATTTGTGTTCGCACAGCCCGCTGCTGCGGCCGCTGCGCTCGATAGCCTGCGACACCGATGCTTCGGAGACCACCACCAGAGCTACACCACGTGCGCCCTCTCCGTAGTAAATCTACACAATCACCACCGACTGGGGTCGGGCGCTCCCACGGCGCCGCACAGACGACTGCACAGGGAATGCTCCACATTCGAAGATATTAAAGCAAGCATGGCACATGGTGAAGTAACCTCACTTATGACTAGCGATATACTTTTTAATAGAAATACAAATATAGTGGTATAAATACAGAGATATAGTTGGCTGCTGCTCCAGCCGACACGATTTCCTTGTTAAGTAACATCATCTTCAATGCGTTATGATATAATGACGGCATCGTATCATGCACAACATTGATTGATAACCAATTGAAGGCTGTTATATTTGGAATCGTGCTCACGAACGCCAGACATGAAAGCCTCAGCAGTCATATTTTTCTTGGCCTTGATCGCCGCATGGCTTATGGAATGGCAGGATTTACACGGCACTGTGATGACGTCATGAATGCTGAGATGACGTCGAAATACTCTCCACGAAATACTCTGCCCATTTTCGTGGGCGTGTAGCTCAGAACCTAGAGGGACTTAGGTCTCAAGAAGGGCAGGATTGTGCACAGCACCGAAAGGTCTTCTTGTATGACTATTTCAGTTCAAAACGCCATATAAATGTGGAGCACTTCCTTAAGCTGCGATCCACCGCCGCCGTGCGGACGGTAATGATCGCTGGACGCCACGCGCTCTCGCGCGCCGGCCGGCGAGCTGCGTCAGCGCGCGGAGAAGCCCGTCGCCGAACGGCGCACCGCCGGTCGCCTTAGGACGGCGATAAGGCGAGAGTGGCGCTGCGCCGTCCGCCGCGCCCAATCCTGCGCTGAGTTATGGTCGACGGGGGAACGGCATTTTGTGACCTATGGCGCGGCACCAGCGAGCGACCTTCGGCGCTCGAGTTGAGTTTCGTAGAAGGTCGGATTCTGTTTATGTTTTGCCCATCACTGACGGCAAAATAACAAATTTCGGATTTCCGGATGGTCTCGCGCCAGCAGGCATGGTCGGCGGCATGCCATTTTTTAATTCAGATCGATGATTAAGTATGAGATTCTCTGAGACAGCGCATGCCGGGACCGTGGATACATAAAGGAATGTGTCAGCGTACAATGATATATTATCAGCGCAAATGCGCCGCATTCTTCGGGAAAACGAGACGAATAGTTCGCTTCCTAGATGCTGCGTTGCAGAAGATAAAACAACAAAGGCTTTGCAACAAGCGCCAGCAGTTGGCTATGAAGTGTACGTTACGAATGCCTTTGTTTGTGATCAAACTACTGGGTGCCCTCGCCAATGCGCTGGCAACTTTTCCTTTCGGATGTAGCTGAAATATTCTTTTTGAACTCTATGGTGGGCTATTTGAGTGTAATGTGCAGCAATTTGTCTTCATATGCTCCATAATAAAATTTAACCTATGTGTCATCCGATGAACGACACTGTCCCTATTGCTGTTACGATTACAAACATTAACAATTACGGACAATAAACCCCTCTGAAGTGGACCAGTCTGACTGTGTCCACTTAAGGTGAACATAATCCGATTTCAAAAAGTTATCTGACCGCCGATACGGTGTCGGCGGAGTATCTTGAACACGGCTACTGCCCAGCAGATACATGTGGTCCCGCACTTGCATCACAACCATCCATAAATTCTTGCAGATAATGGACACAACCTCCAGAAACGCAGCCCTCGTCGTCTGGCATCATGTTAAGTATTCCCTGGCCTATGATTGAACCCTGCCATCCAGCTGATGTCAGCGCGCCTCCTGCAGGGATCGTGGTGACCGTGCTGTGCGGTCTGATCTTCGCCGCGCACGCCTCCACGCCCGTCATCAAGGCCTCGGGCCGCGAACTCAGCTACCTGCTGCTCGTCGGCAACCTGCTCTCGTTCGGCATGACCTTCCTGATCGTGGCCCGCCCCACGGACGCCACATGCGGCCTGACGCGCTTCTTCCTCGGGCTCTGCTACACCGTCTGCTACGCGGCCATCGTCACCAAGACCAACCGCACGTCGCGCATCTTCACGCGGCGGCCGGTCAAGCACCGCACGCGCTACACGTCGCCGCAGTCGCAGCTGGTCATCACGGCCATCCTGACGTCGGTGGAGGTGATCGTCAACGCCATCTGGCTGCTGTACCGGCCGCCGGCCACGCTCGTGATCTCGCCGACGCGGGAGCAGCGCGTGCTCATCTGCGACGGGCTGGACGACAGCTCCTACCTAATCGGTGAGGGAGGGGGGGGGGGGGGGAGGGCGTAGTGTTGCGTGCTGTTGTTGTAAGCTAGCTAGGCTTAAAGCTGAGGTTGGTCAGTACCGGTGTGGTGCAATGCTGTTTTCGAGTGGCCCGTAAGAGGGCGGACGACTAGCGTGGATGGCGCGTCCAGCGAAAGTCTTTGTATTCCAGCCACGTCATCCCATACAGCATTCACGTATGCTGTTTGGCGTGCATGATTAAACACATGTTTGCCCGTCTTTGACACCGCTATCAACAGGATAGTATGTAAACGAGGCACTGTGGACCCAAGTAAACGGCTTCCAGAATGCTGATCAAGACTTGAAAATCTCCGAGTGATCGAGAAGACAACAGCTTCAGCACTATGGTCCTGCTAAGTCGGCAGCCCAGACCGAGCATCAGCAGCAGGTGATGAGTCACTGCTCCGCTGCAGGCCTGATCTATCCGCTGATCCTGATCGGCTTCTGCACAATATACGCCGTCAAGACTCGCAAGTGTCCGGGCGGCTTCAACGAGGCGCGCTACATCGTCTTCACCAGCTACACCACCTGCGTGCTCTGGCTGGCCTTCGTGCCGCTCTACATCGCCGCCACCGACCATGCCCTCCGCACCGTCACGCTGGCTATGTCGCTCTCTCTCAGGTCAGCGAGCGAACGTCGCCCTTCCTCTGGCCAAGAGCCGAGCAGTCGATGTTTGAGAGATGCGCCCTGACCGTGGTCTAGCAATACTCGATAGGCTTGCTGACTTGATTATGATTCAGGAAAGCTCGCGTTCAGTTTGCGCCGCCCTGATGCTCGCGTTGCGGTCGCCACTCTCAGCCGTCCCCGTTCAGACCAGTCGCTGTCCGGCTGCTCGCTCTGTGTAGCGCAGTCACTCCTGTAACGCCTGGCCACGCCCTGCAGCGGTCTGGTGCAACTGGCCTGCCTCTTCTTCCCCAAGATATACGTGGTGGTCTTCAAGCCGGAAAAGAACACACGGGATGCCGTGATGGCGCACCGCTCCCACGCGTTCATCCCCACGTGTCATTCAACACCCGTGGTGCTCATCAACGGCACCAGCAGGGGTGAGTAGTGCTCCCCCCCCCCCGCCCTCTGGCAGCGCGTGAAAACTGTGACGTCACCATAGCGTCCGATGTCTGCCGGTGCCGCTCGTTTACATGCAAATCCGACTCCTTTTCGCGGCTCGCTAGAATTGGTAATGGTTCTATGAATTGCGTATTACTAGAAGCCAATTTAAAACCCGCTTTCTGTTCGAATCCGGGATCGAACGTGGCGCAAACTGATGTCAGTAGCAAAAGGAGCTACAAATATATTGCACGGGCACCCACGCGCCTCCCAGGCCAAAGATATCAGTGCCAAATTGTGCATGCCATGGGGACCAAAGGCGGCACAGATGTCGTGACCTTCAAACAGGGGCATAGTTTTGCGAAGTTAGTTGGTGAGGGATGGGATAAACAAGGAAAAATGACGCAATCTGCAGCAACAATATGCCAACAAGTAGGTTTCTCCTTGGATTCTGCCCACTTTCTTCCCAAAGTTGAGGGGAGGCTGAAACCCATGTTGGTGGCTGAAGCCCCCCCCCCCCGAACTAAATGGGAAGCTGCATTCCTAGTGTCGCAAATGGCGCAGTTCCGAGTGCACCCTACTGAGAGGCCGTGCAGCATTGTCTAAATACTAATATTTTGGTGAGCAGCGCTCCGCAAGGGACCGGCGCACGGCCTGCGCACGGCGCGCAGAGCGTTTGTAGCAAATCCCATATAATCTTCCATTTATCTCCGACCATAACTGTACGAACAATACAGAAAATGTGGTACCAATACTAATTTTAAAGTCAATTATTTCTATGCATTTCAAGAATGTTAATTTTAAACTAGAAAAAGCTCACAACTCTCTCAAAAATTGAGGGGGGACCGGGCCATGTCTTAAAAGCGAAAAAATTCAGGCAAACAGTGCAATTTTAAGAAATTAATTAAAAATGAAAAAAGAAGTTCTATAATTTTAAGAAATTGGTCTTTTTACCTTCCAAAACTTCTACAAGTCCAGTTTTTAAATTCTAAAACGTTTCTTGAGGTAAAAGAGGCGGAGTCCGGTGAGTTTTAAGAAAACAAGGCAAGTTTTCGGGCTTGATCCTTCCCACGCAGCATTTCCTCAAAAACTGTATTATACCTATCAGGTTATTCCACATTGCTGTGTTATTCCTAGACGTTCGTCAGCATGTACACGGATACACAACACAAAGAAAAACACAGGATATTAATATGCCACGTACTTTAAGTAATGTCATGGACACGCGATTTGAAAGTGGAAAGAAGCCAGCCCACAGAATCGTTACTGATGACACGCTTGTCGCACATATGCGCGATAGGCTGAATCGACAATCACCAAATTACATTGCAATAGGATACAAAGTGGCGCTGATAATAAACAATGTAAAATCTGAAGAGCTTCTTGAGCAAAAATCAATAACAGATGGGAGGGAACCAATTTACTAAAGAACCACTTTCGGGCCTGTCGATAGTAGCGGCACCTATATCGACAATATTTCTGAAGTGAGCTGTAATGTTGTATGACTGATAGGGACTATAAATGACTATAAAACCATACCTTAGGGAGGAATTTTGGTTAAAGATGGAAACAACACAAAGCTGCAAGCTAAAGCTGTATTCAGCGGCAGCAGCTCCTCGGAATGAGCCCAGTAGCCGTTCGTCTGCAGCGCCGGCCAGGCGATGGTGTGGACACCCAGCGGCTGCAGGCGGAGCAGCTGAACGCTGCGGTGCAGGCTTTGGCGCCGGAGGTGCAGCTGCTGTTCTGGTGAACCATAAACCAGACCAGAACGTAATGGGCCACGATTAATTTATTTTATTATATTATAATGCATATTATAATATTTTATAATATACATTAGACTATAATGTATATTATGCTATAATGATGTTTTAATATAAAATAATATTATAAAATTTATATATATATATATATATATATATATATATATATATATATATATATA